AAATGCATGAGCAACAAGGCATGGAAACACTTCATTATCAGATTTGTATAATCACTAGGGCTGGACAGTTCTGATACAATCATCAATGACTGTGGGAAACAGCTCTCTCTGTCTGTCTGTCTCTCTCTCTCTCTCTCCCCCCCCCCACCTCTCTTCTTTCATTTTGTGGTTTGGAATTGTTTACATTTGTATCATAGACCTACTTTTAACGTAAATGTCATTTTCCAGCACATTTTCAGTAGAAACTATTGCTAATAGAAAACTGCATTTTCCATTGCGAATCAGCAGGTTGTTTTTTTTGTTCTATCTAGGCAGAGGAAAGCACTTTGTGTTAGCTTGTGCTTTCCCCCCACTTGCCTCAAAAGTCTATCTGGGTTTAGCTAGAACTGAGCTACATCAATTTGTCTCATCAGATGGTACAACCAACAGTACAGGCTGAAGACACACAAGGCTGCCACCTTTGTGAAGCTCAGTAGGTCTGGATGTAGCCAGTGCTCCACCTGAGATGGTTCGCTCCACCTTCCTGCCTGATTATGTTGAGTGGTGTGCTAGCATCCTAGGGCTGGTCTGATGGCTTTGCCAAGGCACTCCTCAGATGGCTCCTTCTTCTTTGGCCTTCTTTCATAATTAAAACACACACACACAACTGTGGCATTGGTGAAACTGATCCGGATTTCATCTTGCTTTTCCTGCTTCAGAATGGAGTGGTGATCACTGGTGGTGGAAATGGATTATGGCAGATAGAAATGAGAATCTGGCTATTGAGCTATGCCATGACCAAGAGACACATGAGAGAAAATGGTGGGCTGCAGAAAAAGTGCTTCAAATGCAACTCTGTGAGCATGCTGCTGTAATGACTAAGGGCATGGGGCACAGCATCCTGCTTCTCTGTCTCCTGGCCCCACACCTCTCCAGCCCCCTCTTCTGCCTCAACCTGAACTGTTCTCTGCCCCTGACACTTTCTGCTCACTAAACCTTGTTACACTCCCTGCGTAGGACCCTTCCTCCTCGCAGTCTGCTCGTCCTCCCTCTTTTCCCTCTGGCCACTAATTGTCATCCCATAACCAATCCGCTGGCTCTGCGATGTCTTCCCGTGGATACTCCCTTGGGGGGTTCCCAAGCTGGCACTTGCCACCACTCCTCTGCATCCAGCCAGTTGATAACAGATTATGGTTGCAGGGTCCAGATTGGTTCATGTGAGGAGAGGCGGTCCTTGAGGTATTGTGGTCCTGAGCTGTTTAAGGCTTTATAGATCAAAGCCAGCCAATGAATGAGCATGGAATCTTGTTAATGGCTCAAGGCTCTGGAAGCTAACCATGGAATTGTGTATTGCTGGCAAAAGATAGAACGAAGTGTAACCATAACTAGATAGGGTAGAAATGAGATGCCCTTCAAAAGGAATATAGTAGCTAAATGCCTTACTATTTTGCAGAGAATAATGATGTGTGTTAATGACTTGCAGACTCAGCCTCACAACTTCTGTCATGTCTGGCCAATTTATTTTATTGAGATCAAACAAGCATCAAAGCTCAACGCCTGTTATTCCTAAGGCCTCAAGTACACAATTGCCCTATTCATTCTGTTACTAATAGGCTGTGTTTTATGTTTTCTCAAAGTGCTTGCAAGGTATATGGAAACTATATACTTTAAAACTTTATACTAAAAAACAAGCAAAAACAATTTCTTTGCTGTATAGGGAAAAGTACATTAAAAATAATTTATGCTATATGTTTAACCCCCCCCCCATGTGAAAATCATTTAAAATGGGTTTCATGCAACAACACAGATGTAGGCTATTGAGCTTGCATTGGCAGAGAGGTGCTATTTGTATTATTTTACTAGGGCTCCATGAATGCATGTAAAATGGATGAGTCCCCTGTATTCAGCCTAATTGCCTAATAGAGGCCTCCACCTGTGAAGTCTTGACATAGCAGATGCTGTGATGAGAATCTATTAAGCTATATTGGCTGCTGAAAATCTTGGATCTGATACAATAAACAAACAATAGAAAAATAATTTTGCTTTATTGCATCCAGGTTGCTCAGCTCTCCCCAGTTTAATGGGATGCCATCAAGTACAAAGTCTCATTAAATCTAATGGTTTAATTCTGATCTCACAGAAGTTTGAATGTCATCAGCTTCTATAAAACTCTTTGCAGCAACTGTGTTTTCGCAGCATGACATACAGCAACATGGGATCTAATACAATATAACTGCAATTAGACTGCCAGTTCTTTTCAAACAGCCAGAACCTCAAAACACCTGTGAAGGCAGGATTCATTTTCTGCAGAGCATGTGTACGCTCATCTAGTGATAAATGTAAGGCTGTAATAAATTCCTTACATCAATCTGCACAGATCTGCATGACGATTACCCTCTTCCTTAAAGCATACGTTTTACTAGAAAGGACCAGAAATTTCAAATAAAGTTGCTTACAGCAATGGATGCATCTCCATGATTCATTACTTGTGTGAAGAAGTGGCTAATGCAGTTCAAAGCAATTTAAATCTCACAAGAGAACACACACATACACACAAACTTCAGATTTTCAACACACACACCCCAACCCTTTACTTACTTTTATTAAACTCTACACACACTATGCTTTTAGAGCAGGGATGCTAATCAACTAAGCATTACTCATAATAAACCCATGGAAATTAATAGGCTTAATTTAGTCATGTCTATATTTTTATTAACCATATTTAGACATAGAACCTGAATATTCACATGATTTATTATTTTTTTAAAGAAAAACACCCTTAAAGCTTTGGTGTCCCTATCCTTGTTAACTTCTAGTTTTTATTACATTTTAAGTTCTGGACTCATTCTTCCCAGCAGCAATTTTGCATCTTGTCATAGTGACATGAAAATGTACCATAAATATTTAGTGCTGGGATTTAAATAATACAGCAGATATGGATACATAGATGGATATCTTTACACAAAGGAAGAATTTAAGTGCATAATAATTTCCTTGGGATTTTTAGAAAATTTATTGGACATTTGTATATAAATGTGCTCTTATTAAAAATGTAGATGCAAAAATGAACCTACCTCCACCTCCACTCTTTTTTGTCCCCTTGAAAGTATAGCTTCACATGCTGTTTATGTGGGTTTTTCCTCAATGAATTTACCTTTCGGGGTGATGTCATTTTGAATAAACACTGCATTTAACACAGCGAGAGTCAGAAATTTGCAAGATTTCTTTTTATACTTGCTGGTAATATGGATCACACTCTCTCCTTAGAAATGCAAAAAGGTACACGAGGACTAAATTATAGTCTACATTTTAGAATCAGTGACAGAGGACTGGGAAGTATGGGAAAGACATATGGTAATTGGTGATATTGACAGTGATGTGCTAAGGTCAGCCAAGTATGTATACAGAAGTCCAGCTTTTCTGCTGTTCAGGAAAGAGATCTTTCTGATTCAGCTGCAGCTTGGGCCCTATATTCTCAAAGTGTGAGTGGAACCAATGCATTAGGTGGATATCAGCACTATTTGAATGATCCACTGTTTGGAATGATCCAAACAAGGGTTGTGTTCCTCTCTAGATCTGAGTCTGAGCTAGAATTCTAATAGCAGCTGCTAGAGCCTTCATTTCTTGCCTTTTGGGCCAGTGCCCAGAACAGCCAGGTGGATCATATTCCCAAACAAGGGCATTAGAAGGCCCAGAAGTGAGGTATCACTCCTGCTAAAATCATTTTGAATGTCTGTTTATTCCAGTCCAGAGATCCTCATGTGCAGCAGTGAAAAGGTTAATACTGTGCACAAGAATCTAATTGTTTTATTTAAAAAATAGATCACTGGTGTAATATTGTGGGGAGGGCATCCAGAAAGCTGGAGTAGGTTGAAAAAGCAGATCTGTGTTTGAAAAGCCTATCAGCACTATCTAGCCTTAGACCCTACTTTGGCCCTGTTCAGCCAGATATGGCTTAAGACTATGGGTGGAATCCAATGTAACACTAAGTGAATGTCCCGTCAGCACAAGAATTTCTGCTTGCACAGCACAATATTCTCCCCCTTTCCTGCACCCCCAAAGTTTGTTCTAGGTGCTCCCCAGCCCTCTGGAGCAGATTGGGGGGGGCAGAGGAGAGGGGGAAAGTCCTGTTGCACAAGTAAAAACCTTTCTGCTGATGGGATAGGTTTGTTGAATATCACCCAGTGTTATCTGATGTGACTTTCTGATTAACTACATCCATAATCATTATCATTGGTCCCTGCTCAACCTACATCATTGGACTTTTGCCCTTGACTTTCAACACCCTTGACTTTCAGCACTGAGACCCTGTTGGATCAACTGGTTGCTATTGCCATTACCTACAGCCACTATTGCCAGTATTTTTAGTTTTACCTTACAGCATCTGAAAGAGGAAGATGAAGGGAAAGAGACAAAGCAGCAGGGTAGGACACTAAGTGCCTGAACTGGATTTTTAAAAGATGCAACAATGATTTTTATGTTGACTGTGGGCAACCCAATAAGATTTCTGCATTCTTTATTTCTGTATCGAAATCCTATACAAAAATAAAGAGATTTTCCCCCTTTGTGGCAAATCTCACATCATTATTTTTTAAAAAAACTACTTAAAATGATATAATTTTGCAAAAAGTGGTTGAAGTCTTTGAAATGGCTGAACATCTTAATCTTATGCAGACTTAGGATGCTCTCTAAACTCACCGAAATCAATAGACTTGATTGTACCAAGCTCTGCTTAGGAAAGTCCTCTTAATCTCTTAATAGCCTTAATGAAACCCTACATGCTTTCAATTATTAACAAATTTATGGAGGCCAATGATTTGTGTTTCAGATTATACAACAAGAGCGCTGTTAAAGTGTTATCATGATTAAAAGATTCAACTGACATGGATGTTTACAACTCACTATATTTTCTTGTATTTAAGATATAGCCAAAAAGACAATCTTTGTTAAAGAAATATTGTTGTCAAGTAAAAGAACTTTGTATATCTAATGACGAACAGTTGTCATCCATTCCCCCCCCCCCATTCAGAACATCATTTGTTTGGTCAAACCTATGTTTTCTCCAGCTTGTACCACACCACAGATGAAAATATAAAGCTGCAGCCTTCCCATATACAAGGCAAAGGGGGGGGGACTAAAATGGCAGAGCAGTGTCTGATTCTTCAGATGCTGTGGGTGGAGTGAGCTGTCTGAACTGTAACAGGCACTGGATCCCAGGCGAGGTGGGTAGATGCATAGCTGTTTCTCCTCCTCTCCTGGTTTTGATCTTCCCTTCCTTTGATGAATTTAGACCCACTTCATACGTTTACAAAGAAATGCTATTAGCCATCAAAGGATTTCCATTGGTGCTGACTTAACTCTCCCATGTTGAGGAGGTGCTTTAAAAAAAAAAAAAGCCAGTGAAATCATGGCACAATTGTGCGCAGAAACAAAATAAGCAGGATAACCAAATTATGTCTACATTTTGTTTTCAAAAGCTGATTTACAGCATTAACAGTTAGCTTAGTCCTAAACTGCCTAAGCCAGTGATGGGGAACCTTCAGACTATGGACCTAGTATGGCTATTTTGGGTGAACCACGCTTGCTTTGTTTGTGCCTGACATGATGTTTTTGAAATATCAAGTGGTATATATATATATATATATACTTATAAATGAATGAATGTCTGGTGTCATTGTCACAGTAACCCACGGAGGCTTAGCCACTTCTGAATCTGGTCCTCTGGCCAAATCCTACTCCCCAAATTGATTTCAATGGGCTTCAGTACATCTTACACTGCATAGAGAGGCCTGCTTTTCAGCTTTTGATTTTTGCTTTGTTTTTCTGTGTCTGAAAACAATGAAACTATGTTTATCATTTGCAACAAAAATAAGTATGTCCAGATTTATTAGCTAGCACTGAATTTTTTTTTTTTTTTGGGGGGGGGTAAATGTAAAGCACAGGACACGGTAAGATAATGAATAAAATTCAATTTCAACAAATGTATTTTTCCATTTGGCCGGGATATCATCGGTGTCAGTGTTTTGCCATAAATGTGGCCATGAGAATGTAAAGGAGCCGTATCAGTTTACAGAGGAAAAATGTGCAGCTGTGTTCATTTGTTGGATGGGATATAACTGTCTTCCCTTAAGGAAGTGCTTCTGTTTTGAAGATGCTGCACTCAAAAGAGAAGAGCATTTCCCCCCAGAATGGAATAGAAGTCTTCCCTCAGGGATATGCCTCTATTTCAAGAATGTTGCACATTCCCAGCAGTCCAGAAGCAATGCATTTTATGCATTTGCACCACCCAAAGAGTGGAATCATTGTCATACTGTGCTTGCTGGTAAGGAGTTCTACATGCATCACAGGCACATACCGGACAGTGCCATGAAATAACTGATGGCATGAAAGATCTTCCATGACTGCTAACAGCTTACATGAAACAAACACAGCGACCCTATAACCAGCACTCAATCTGTAATGATGGAACTCCTATGGACACTGAAACTGGCTAGTTTCAAGCTGAGAAGCTTCTGATACTCTGCTCTGAGACTACTCAGTTTCAGTCTCTTTCCAAATCTCCTCTTTATACAGTGCAAATTTCTCAAGTAATAGAGTACACATAGTTCCATCCTCTAAAAGCAAGGGTAGGGGAGCAAAACACAAATATGGTTAAACCTCCCCTTCCATAGCAAGATACCATCACCATGGCAGCACAGTTTTCTGTTGCCATTCATTAAATGCAGCATGGATATCATGCTATTGCTATGTAGGGCATTACATAGGACTCATGAGACATGAAATCCACAACCCCCTACCCCCGATAAAAAAAGGAACGGTAAGCTAAAGAACTGGTAGCTTGCTGTCTTTCCAGCATGCCCCAAAGCTGTCTTCAGGGCAGCTGCTCCACCTTGCATAGTGGTAGGGCTGGCCCTATGGCCATTGACCATCTGGATATGGCTTAGGGATGTCCGGACAAACGATACAGAATCTTCCTGCCTGAAAATCTGTTGCTAAAATGTTAGGCTCTTTATTTGCTTTTTAAGTCATCTTGCATAGATATACACAGAGTATTTTTCTATCCTCTTTATATCAAAATGTTGAGCAGAAAACATGAGTCATATGTATTAACAGTTACATTTTGTTCTTGGCTAATCCCACTTCTCTGCTTTAAGGAAGAAAAGATTAAGAAATGGTGGCATGTACTCAATTATCAGCAGCCATTTTAATTCCTGTACAAACATACCTAACTTTTCACACAGGAACAGAGCTAAAAGCTAACTAACTGTTGACCAAAATAGTATCTGTACAACCATACAAGGGATGGGGTGCAATTCACATTACACAATCTACCACTGTCTATATTTTATTTTTGAGGTGGAGTGATGGGCATACATAAACTCATACAAGAGGTAAAAAAAATTACACACTTGTTTTGGGACAGAATTCTCTTACCAATATCTTACCAAGTGATGAATTTGCACCATTGTACCCAGGCATAGAATCCCTCACTTGCCTTGTTAATTTCATCAGCTAATTTATTTCATCAGAACCTAAATCTGCCTCCTTTCCAATTCTGCCTTGCGGTTCTTTCCACCTTAACAGTACCATCATGTGTATGGGTAAATATTATATTTAATATATAAAATAAGTAGGGGAGAAAGTGTTCCATGTTATTTTCTGGGCAATATAAATCTATATTAACATACTAGCAGAACAGCAATTATTCTTCAAACATGTTGTCATTAATTTAGCTAAAGGCACTTGCTTTATTATTTATAACATATAAACATAAACAATAAAAAATATATAAAAGCCAGAATGGGTATGTTCCACTGAAACCACTGGAACAACTTAATTGTTACTGAAGGCCCATTGCCTTCAGAATGATTGCCAGCACAACTCTCTGCATGTTTACTCAGGAGTCAATTCTACTGTGGTCAGTGTGATTTATTATCATATTAGTCACAAGAACCTTCAGCTGGAGAGTGGCCATCATTTTTTTCTATTGTTTCTGACCTGAATCCAAATGGTGATAATAAAACATGATAATTTATCAGCCTAGAAGTTAGGTCCTAGCTTTGCTCCTCACAGTGGAGGCCATCTTGGTGCTTCTTCACATACAGGGCTAAAAGTAGCCGGTGCTGTATTTTCTATGTTGCCTTCTAAACACGCCTTGGTAGCCATACATTGTGTGAAGAATGAGGAAGAGCAGTAATTAGGATAGGTGAGAGAATGTCACCTTTCTGTATTTACATTTATAATGCCCTTGCTTTTCTGCCCCATCTGCTTTCTTTTTCTTCTCATCACCTTTCTCACATTTTGTTCTCCCTGTAAGCTATCACTGGGCCTCGTTTACTTCTCCCAGCAACTGACCTTTTCACCCTCTGCTTTGCCACTCCACTCTTCCTACCTCCTTCTTTGCAAACCACTGTAGCATCTCCCTCTGTTGCTGCAGCAACCTTGCAACTTATCCAAGTCTCAGCACTGAACTTTCATAACCTTCATGCTTACCCAGACCACCTTCAATTACTATCGGTTTCACCCTTCACTGCCCCATCTTCCTTCATCCTTGATCAAACCTTATCTTATCCCTGTATCTTTGATCCTATATGAACACTTACAGGAGTCAATTTCACAAAATCGATGAGGCTTACTTCTGCATAAATGCATTTTTTGGCCAGGGGAAGCTCAAACGCCCATGAATTCTGTAGACTTTTCAATAAGCAATGCAATTCAGTGATCTGTATAGCACCTGGCATGCTGCTGGAACTGAATTATTGTTGAATAATAGCAAGAAGGCCTGTTCAGAAAGATATTTCCCTCCCAGGGGGCCACGTATGCCTGAAAGGGAGTTCTTAATACAGGGAAAGATGTGATTTCTGGAATCAGAGCAGTTTAAAGATAACAGCATTTATTGTTCTGTGCCATCCATCACATACTGTACATTGAGCAGCCAAATAAGGAAATAACCATTCCTTTGGAGGTCCATTTATTCTGACAGCCTCCGAATGCTGGTCTAAAGTATGTGAAATAGAATCATCCTAATAAAAAATGATGTTCCTATCCCCCTCCCCACCCTGAGCCAAGGGCTTTTCTCAGCAATTACCTTCCTAGCCCACACAGAAATACCTAATCCGCTCTCCGCGCAGCCACCCCCACCCCGCTGGATTTCCTCCCCCTCAGTAATGTATGCATCATAACCTCATGGTAATTCCCTCCTCCGTTCCCCTGGGAAGAGCTTTAAAGTCTGGAAACGCTGGAGGGATAAGCAGGCGCCTCGCTCCGCCAGGCAGGTGCTGCACCTACCGCCGAGGCCTCGCGCTGCTTCGGAGCAGGGAGTCTTCGCGCGCTCCTCCCCCCTTCCCCGCGGGAGGGGATGCGCGGGCGCGCGCGCTCCTACGCTCCCTTTCACTCCCTCCGACTCCATAGCAGCACGAGGAGGGCATCTCTCTCCGGGCGCTCGAATCCCCGCTTGCAAGTCCCACATGCAGCCCCCTCCCCAGGGCGCTCAGGGGGCCGCTTGACTTCAGATATTTTCGGCTCTGAACTCTCGTCATTTCCGCCAGTGTGAGAGAGGTGGGGGCTGCGAGGGGAGCGAGCGAGCGAGAGACAGAGAAAGAAAACGCGCGGCAAGCGTGCAGCTCCGCGAGGGAACAGCTCTGGGAACAAACGCGGCGAGAGCGCGGGGCTCCCGGCGTCGCTGCTGCCGCCGCCGCTCCATTAAGCCTTGGCGCCCTCGGTGCTCGTGAGCAGCGCCGGACAACGTCCCCCAGCATCCTGGAGCGGCAGCCGCCGCCGCCGCCGCCTCTCGCCCGCAGGTCAGAGGGGGCGGCAGGCAGGAGGCGTCGGAGCGTGCGGGAGCAGCAGCCCTCTTCTCCCGCTCCCTGCTGAGGAGGCAACATGAACTGAAAGCCCCCACAGGCGCCGATACGCACACGCGCGCGCCCGCGCGCCACACCGACCCGCTCCCACACAAGCGAGAGGAGACGAGCTGCGAGAGGAAGGCGAGGATTTTTTTTCCCCAGGCAGCCTCGCTGCTGCTTCTGCTTCTCCGCTCTCCGCCGTTTCGCGCCTTAACCGGCAAGAAGCTGAAATACGACCCCCCACAACCCACCCACCCAACTCTACCGCGGCTCCTAGGCCAGCCGGACCCGCCACCCGCCTTTCTTTTCGCGGTTCCTGAGGAGGAGACACCACTTCTCGCAAAGTTTCCCCCATGGCGCTCATTATGGAACCTGTCAGTAAATGGACCCCGAGCCAAGTGGTGGACTGGATGAAAGGTAAAGAGCGAGCCAGGAGCTCGGGGGCGGCGGGGGGGGGGTGGCGGCTGGGTGCCCCCCGGCCTCCCCTCCCTCTGAGGGAACGGCGTGGCTTGCCTTCCCCTCGCATATTTGAGAGTCGTGGGAGAGTTGAATGTTGGAAAAGCTGGCTGGGTGTCTTAAGCAGGTTCTCGACGTGAGACACACAGAGAGACTAGAGCTAGCTTTCTGGGTTTGCCATTCGTTTTTATGGTTTGCTTTTGCTTCGTATCCCCGTGGACTCGAGGCGCCGCTTGGCAGGTGCTGTTTGCTGTCTCGCGGGGCGAATGGAGGGAGGCACCCACCGCGCCTTCCCAGCCTCATCTCGCGCTTTCGTGTCGCCCTGGGCTTGGGCTCCGCTGCTCACTGCAGGCTAACTTAGGTGGCCTCCAGTGTAGCGCCCGGACATCCACTTCTGACCTCATCCGAGGCATGCAGTTGCCTCGAGCTACATCTTCCAGCCTCCCATTCATTTACGGTACTTAGTTCTTGGGCAGTTAGGATACGGACCCTCGTTCCCCCGGTTAGGCGACGAGCTGAGATTGGAGTGGCTTTAAAAAAAAAACTTTTAGCAAAGATAGATTAAAAGCCCCGATCGCCAGACGGAATAGCAATTTAAAACGCAGCAACAACCCAAGGAGGTTAATTTGGAAAAGGAAGGCTAAGGGCGTTTAATAAGCGTAATAATAATACCCTGTGGCTGTTTGTAAATATGCCTTCCACTTGGAGCACTTGGCGAAATGCGAGCCAGCGACCCAGAATGGCCAAGAGGCCATATGGAACTGTGGAGGAATGCTAAAACAATCCTGGCCATGGGGCGAGGGGCGGTGATGGAGGAGGATGACAAGGGAGATAGTGGAGAGCAGGTGTCAAGACGCAGCAGCGCCTCTTGAGGAGAGAGGCTGCAATAACAGCGCCAGCATGCTTGAGGAACACTGGCTCTGGTGTCGGCGTGACCTGGCATGGGAGGGAGCAGCTGGGACGACAGCCCTGCATGGGCGTGTGAGACCTTGCAAAGCTGATCTCCGGGTCAGAGGGCTGGGAAGGTGGCAGCATCACATGTCATGGGAAGCATGTGCGCTGTAAAACAAAGCTACTGAAGGAAGGAGGGTGAACGGAGAACATGGTGTGCTTGCATCTCATAGAGAGTGACAGTCTGGTGTCCTTTTAAAATGGTACGTGCAATGACTTGTACTGCTGCTCCTAAGCATTCCACTTGTTTCCCTTCAAGCCAAGCAAGGAGCACCACAATAGCAGCTGAGCTGCTGTAACACTCACTTTCAGCAGCTGTCTTTTTGTCATTCCCATTTTGCTCTTTTAGACCTGCTGCTTTCACTTGTGAGGCTGGAATGAGATTTCTTTTAGTCGACTCTCTCTAGCTTTCCTCCACTAGCAATTGTCAGTCCATTGTCCACTCCTAGCATCATTTTTTATTATTATTGATAGCATCAGAAACAGAGCTTTTTTTGAGGATGTGGGCTTAGATGATCAGTCCTGCTATTTACCCACTAGTTAAAGCCATTGCTTTATTTGTGGGTTGTAACTTTGAGGAAGCTGACATGTTTTTATTTTTACATTGCTGATAAAATGAGAAATTGTGCCTCACCTCTTCGTTACATCCAGCTGCTGCTTGACTGAAACAGCTGAGGTCCATCTGTGGCCCACTCTTAAATACACTCTAGCTCTGTTGAATGCTGTGAACTTAAGTCTGCTTAAACATGCATAGAATTGCACGGTAAGCTTAGTAGCCACTGTTGTCAAATGTGCTTATATCTCTTTCAGTAGATATGCTCCCCTACTCTTCAAGGAAAGCCTGTTTCAGTCAGCGCTCTTGAAACAGGCAGTTTCTTGCCATTTAGTATTTTGCTTACTCACTGTTTGGTAGTGGCTTGGCAGGGAATATACACTTAAACCTCATTGATTTCAGTGGGAGCTTTTCAGCCTGATTCAGTACATGTTTCCAGTACATTATTTTCTCTGAAGTAATTTCCAGTTTATTAAATAGAATTTACTCTCAGGAAATGTGTGATTAGGATCACAACCCCAAGCATGTGCTTAACTCTGGCCCTTCGAAAGCAGCACAACCAGAAAGTGCTTAACTTTGGCCGTATGGTGCCCAGAGACTAGAAACTTCTCTTATCCTGCATAGTATCATAGCTCACTTAGCATTTAATTGCCCTATTTTGGTAAATGAGATCACCACATTCTGTGAGAATGAGCATTAGTACACCTGTTCTGTTTGAAACACTAAAACACTTTGCAGTTAGTTGTTTTCTTTATCAAGACCCTGGTTTGGAAGATGTAGTTTTGGTTTTTAAATAATTAATTTCCAGGTCTGCAATTTTCCATGCAGTTGCAATCTCTTATTTACTGATACATAATTCTGGGTATGAATGAAGCCCAAGAAAGATGCTTGTATTTCTCTTTATTTTAAAATGAAAATTCTAGGTGGTTTAGATTTTTTAAAATCATGTGTAAAAAAATATTGCATCAACATTCTACACAATGTGTCTCAATAGATATAGCATTGGTTTAGCTACAGTTTCATTTTGTAACATATCCTTGAAGTCTCCAAGATGTGATAAGTATTATAAAAGGACAATTGTGTGTACAGTGGTGGTGGTGGTTTTTTGTAGGTGCAGTAATATCCTTTTTTAAAAACATCCCATGTCATTTTCCTAACATGGAGCTTCTGAATGAAGCATTGGAAATCAATATTTCATTGTGAAATGTATCACAGAATATGAAATTTTGCCTGCTTATCCTGAGCAACCAAGGATATACTTTGAGGCTTTTAGGATAAATAGCCCATATTTTAAGATACATTGTTTATACTGGCATTGCTTTTGACTATACTTATCGTCTTTCTGCTTGTTTGCCTTCCCAGTGTAAAAACAACAATATGAGCATATGAATATGGGTTATAGGAAAGGCTTTCATGTATTAGAGATAACTCCAGTTTTCATATTTATTTTATAAAATCACAAGTATGAAAACTGGAGTTCTCTAATCCTAGCTTGTAGCGTGAATAAATCTAGCTAGTATCAAATATATCTGTGAAGCTGGTGCAATTGAATGACTGATTTATGAAGAACTGCTATGTTGTGGGCATTATTTCTCAGACTTCTTTACCTTGCTAATGCATGGCAATTTCATCCTCCTTAAAACTTGAGGCATATGGTCTTAGTTATTTAACTCTTGTATTTCCATAAATAGTTATGTAAGCCTGTTTAATAATGCTTATTAACTATATACATGGTTCCCGAAACAGGGCAATGATTTGCTGTTCAGCAAAACTGCAAAACAGTAGACAGTATTATGGTAAAATGCTTCATAAAAATGGAAGGTCTAATACTTTGAATCAATGAAGCTAGTTCACTTCATTACCATTCAGTTGATGCCTGCTTAGAACATTTGGTTTCTGAATTGGTTGTGTATGTGCATATTGTGCATGTAATGCATGGGAAAACATGGCCATGTTCTTTGCAACATTAAACAGATGGATTGGGAATTATCATTTGCTTTTTGCATTTTAAATGGTTGTGACTTGCCTCAAGATCCCTGGGGTGTTGTTTGGGGGATTTTTTTGTTGTGGGGGTTGTTGCTGTTGGGTTTCTGGGTCTTTATTTTAGATAAATCCTACTTAGAATTAAGTTCAGTGTGGCTTACTTTCAGGTCATTAGGTATAGGACTGAGGTCTGAATATTTTGACTAATAAAGCAGAAGTTACAAGCCTATACTTCTAACTTTGTGTAGTACTAGTGACTGGTTTCCCTGTTTAAAAAACTGCTGTTTGTGTTTCTAAAAGAAAATCAATTAGCTATTTTCCAGTTTTTTCTTTACTGGTATATCCGCTTCACACTTAATGGACTTGGGAAGAGAAGATAATAGTAGCCCAAACTCACTTATGTGCACAAACGAGTTTTCAATAACATTAACCTGCTTGAAAGTATCCTATATTATGACTTCATTGTTTTTCCTCACCAGAGTCTGTTTTTATGAAGACCAAAAAGTGCACTTGCTCATTAAGAAATGTGTTTAGCTAAAATAAAATAAGCATTATTATTGCATGGGGCA